GGCACATAACAACAACATTTTGTTGAATTACTTTTCTTTGGAATGGGCACAAATATAGATTCTCTTTATCAGTTGACAAGAGATCTGTATCTTCCAAATTTCTTGGTATTGATGAATGAGCATCTCCAGCACTGTTGTTGAAACATCTCACTTGGCATTCCATAAACCCCTGGAACCTTGCTTTGTGCCAGTACTTTCAATGACCCCTGACGTTTTCCTTTAAAATAATTCATTAAAACCAACCTCTTTGTAAACCTTCACTAAAATAAAATTTTAAAAACATTGGTTCCCCCCATAATGTGAAAATATTGTAAAAGAAGGAAGATAACATCTTACCTGGATCCACAATCAATACCTATGGAGACAGCAGCCAAGGAATCACAACACAAGTTGCACTGGTGAAACTCACTGTCAAGGACCTATCCGAAGTTCTAAATAGCAAGGATGTTGTTTTAAAGACTCAGCTATACTGGATCCAAGCCATGGTCTTTTCAATTCCTTCTTTGCATCAAAATGTTGGATAATGTCCCCATAGATGGATTAAGTAAATTGATTAAGCCAAATCTGGTGGCTTTGGTGGCCTAGTGGCAAGAAGCTGCACTGCAATCCTGAAGGCAGACAGTTCAAACCCGCCAGCTGCTCTGTGGGAGAAGGATGGGCAAGCTTCTCCTGAGTCATTAACTGCCTCTGAAAACCCACCCGAGTCAGCCATGGATCACTTCTGGCTCACTGGTACACAACAACAACAAGCCAAATCACACAATAAAAACATTAAGGTATTGAAGAAGAATGAGGTCTTAAATCTATATACGTTATTAACAAAGCATTCTACAAAAACTGTATTCTATGCCCTACTTTGGTGGATAGTGACTGAAGTCTTAAAGCTCTAAGTGGCCATCTAAGATATAGCTGTTCGTCTCTTCCTGTCCAGAAGAAGAGGAGCAAAGAAAATCAATGTCACATAAAAGCAATTAGTCCAAAGGATAAACGGACCACAGGAACTTCAACTTCTACTATGCTGAGACCAGAAGAACTGCATGGTTCCTAGCTGCCATTACCGGCTGCTCTAAAAGGGACCACAGTAGAGGTCATGGACAGAGCAGGGAGAAATGTGCAACCTGTATTACAACAGCGATCATTTCTCTGGTCTGATAGAGACTTAGGGAGCCCATGAGACTATGACTTTCAAGAACCCTTTGAGCCTGGTATTAATCTCATCTCTGTGACTCAACTTTCTGCCAATCATTAGACATAATTATAAAATGAGCCACAGTATTGGGGAGGGAGTCACCCCTTAGCGCAAATAATCATACAAGGTTCAAAGGGCACCATTTGCCCAAGGATCACATGCAGAAGATGGGAAGGGTTAGGATAGAAGATGAATGGGAATTGGAATCACAGAGAGATTCATGGGAAGAATATTGTCATAATATGAGGACTGTAATTAATGTAAAAACCAAAATCTACCTGAATGACTGAACTAAAAAGCAATTGCTTCACAAACTTTCACTTCAAGTACACATACACATATACTACATTACAACACACACACACACACACACACATTTATACTCCCTAACAAAGTGCATGGACTATTAAAACAAATTAAGGGATAATTCAAAACACAGTGCCAAGGAAGACTTGAAAATTACCTCCAGAGAAATGGTGGTGTTTTTGTCCTCACAAACATTGTCCAAAATGCTGATGGTGGCATTCATCAGAGCACAAAAGGGCACCTGTGTCACAGAAAGAAGAACATTGAGTTATCCCTCAGACTGTCATGACATCCAGGGAACTGTGGGGGTGGAGCTGAAATTACCTAACCTTATCTGAGGTCCTGACCTCCTGAGATGCTATAGGTCTCTAGAATCCTCCACAATATATGTAAAACCTCACCATTTTATCAGAATTTGACTAGCATAATCTTTCTTTTCTATGAATTAAAAAGCATAAATACCAAAAATATTTAGTAGAATCAATGTTGTTTGTTGTTGTTGTTGTTATGTGCCGTCGAGTCGCCTGCGACTCATAGCGACCCTGGCCCAAGGTGCTTGGGAATTACAAGGCTGATTAATAAGTTCAGATAGTGCTTTGTCATCATTAACATGCAACTCCAATGTTGTGGCCCAGGTCGGCTGTACCAGCTCCTGCCATCAGACCTAAATTTCAGCAGGTGAGAAGGTAAGAAAGGGGAAGTTGAGCTTTGTTACATATTTTTAGGGGTTACAAAAAACAAGTAGAATGGAGAGTAACTGCTTGATAGTTACAAAGCTTCTTTCTGCGATGATAAAAAAGATTCTCATACGTTGATTCCACAGAGTGGAACAGTTCTAGGGAGCTCTGGTGGCCTAGTGGCAAGAAGCTGCACTGTAATTCCAAAGGCATGTGGTTTGAGTCCATCAGCTGCTTTGCAGGAGAAGGAGGAGGAGTCTCTTTCCATACAATTAACTGCATCTGAAAACTCACCAGAGGGTCAGCGATGGGTCAGATCCAACTCAATGATTAACAACAGCCAGTAACAGGTAAATATTGATAGTTGTAGAGGGGCTTGAGGCCTTTTGTTCATTGGGTCACTATGAGTTGTGCTCGACTTGAAGATAATCGACACCACCACCACTATTAAAGTATATGGCAATTTTATATAAATTATATTAATATCCATAAAATGGGATATCTCTCAGCAATGAAAGAGAACAAAGTATTGCAATGACATGGCTGAGACATGAAAACATTGTGATCTGGGGTCATAATATTAAAGTGTAGGATCAAATGTCCCACTTTTCCCGTTGAATTGTAGATGTGATGGCAGGTGCTGAAGCAGCCACTTTGGACTACAGAATGGGAGTCTTTTAATGATGATGACGATAGCAGAGGACTGAGTAGCCATCATGTCAACTCTCGCAGCTGATGTTCAGATTGTTACAGAGGAAAGAAAGACACAACATACTGAAAGTATGGTTATCTTGGCCTTTATTCAAGCTGCAGAAACAATATTCTAATTAACTGACTCCTAGGGAATCCTAACAAGGTAGGGACACTTTATAATGCTTACATTTTCAGACTCCATCGCTGTTCTTTCTTGGCATCTTTGGGCCCATTCTGTGTCAGATATAATATCTTCTTTACACTTGAATGGAATTTCTGGGAAGGAAACATAAGCTACCAGACTTCAACAACAACCAGATTTCAAACACAAAGAGCCTTCAACCGCAACCAGACTTCAACCACAACCAGACTTCTGCAACCACAGGAAATTTGATTATCTCACACATCACAGCTTAGACAATGATGAAAATGAACAGGCACACATTACAAGAGCAGGGATTCCAAGCAGCTTGATATTTCACGAAAAAGAACAAGTATTCCAAGTTTCTTCCAAATTGTGTCAGGATACATAAACTAAATCCAATAAAAACTAACAATCTGTTGCCTTTGAGTCCACTCAGGCATCTGGCATCCTCGTGTGCCACACAGCAGAACTGTTCTCCATGGGCTTTTCATCCTATGATTTTTATGGAAGCAGATTTCTGGGCCTCTCCTCCACGGTGCAGCTGAGTGGAGCAATGCCGCTGTGCCTTCCTGGCAATTCAAATTCACCAGTGAGTCTGAAGAAGAAAGACGAGCAGCCTCCTCTCATCCCATCGACAGCCTTGGAAGCCCAGTGTAGGGTCAGCTATGGGTTGTTCGTGACTGAGGAGAATATGAGGATTCCCCCACCCCCAGCATTTTTGTTGGCAAAAGTTCTGAAATTCTTAAACTATCAAGCAAGGTCCTACAGAATCTCACTCTGATCTCTAATGCCATTTTCCCTTGTCACTGTCCTGTCTTAAGCCCACAAATATGATTTGTTCTTTGTCCAATCCAAACTGTACATCTCCTTCTGACTCAGGGCCGTTGCACATGTCATAACCTAGACCACTTTGATCTCCATTCCCCAGCTAACAAATTTACACTTCTCTGACTTTCTTTGTTAAATGCCATTGTCTCAGAGCATATTTAATAATAAATATTCCCTTGTGGCTATTTGTGTGCTATTGAGCCAATTCTGATTCTTCGTAACCCCAGGTGATAGAGTATAACTGTTGTGTAGAGTTTTCTAAGCTGTAATCTGTACAGGAACAGGTCACCGGTGCTTTCTCACATGAGGCTGTTGAGTGGGTTCAAACTTCCAACCTTTCATTTAGGAGTTTAGCACATATGCCATGAGGTCTTCTAAAATGTCCATGTTCATTTCTGTGAGGTTTCAATATCGTATTTCTGTGCTTATTAAATAATTGCATGTACTTTCTGCTTCCTTTGTTAGAATGCAAGCTGCTTGAAATAGTATGACTAATACACCCATGATTGAATCCTCAGTACCTGAAAAAAAAAAACCCACAGGCAAGAAGATAAATAAAAAACAACAAAAGAAACAATTGCCACCTAGTCTGTTCCAACTCATGGCAAACAAATTTGTTTCAGAGCAAAATTGAGCTTCACAGCATTTTCTTGGCTTTAATATTTATGACAGCACATCGTTAGCTTTTTCTTTCACAGTGCCACTGGATGAATACAAACCACCAATCTTTTGATTAATATCCAAGTACAGAGTGATCCACCTAGATACTTAAAGAAAAAAGTGTCATTACTATTAGGTATTTCTGGTCTGTCTCTGTCAATGTTCGTTCAAGTCTTTTCTGGATAATCTTCAGTAGGATTTTGCTATTGTGTTATATTAATGATATTGTTCAATAATTTCCACAATCTGAAGTGTCATCTTTTTTTGGAATGGGAATAAATATGGATCTCTTCCAGTCAGTTGGCCAAGTAGTTTTTCTCCAGACTTCTTGGCATAACTTGGTGAACACATGCAGGGCAACATCTGTTTACTGAAATACATCAATTGGAAATTCCTAGGGCTTTATATTTTGCCAAGTCCTTCAGAGAAGACTAAACTTTCTCCTTCATTACCATGCCTCTTGATCATATATGGTTTCTTAAAATTCTTCTGTGTTCTTTTTGGTACAATGAGTCTGTCTCCTCCTTCCATCTTCTTTTAATGCTTTCTGAATCTTTCAATAATACCAGCAGTCAGGAGGAAATGAAAAGACAGATTGCATCGGGAAAATCTGCTGTCATGTACCACTCCAGAGTGCTGAAGAGCAACAATGTCAGTCTAGATACAAAGGTGTGCCTAATCCAGGCCATGGACTTCTCAATTACTTGTTCTGCTTCAGAGAGTTGGACAATGACTAAGGATGACAGAAGAATAGATGCCTTCAAGTTGTGGTGCTGGAGAAAAGTCTTGAATATATCATGGACAGCCAAGAAAATAAATAGATCTGTCTTGGAGAGGGTGAAACCAAGTCTCTCTGTGGAAGCTAGGATTTTGAAGCTCCATTTCCTTACTTTAGGTATGTGGCCAAGAGAGATTGGTCCTTGGAGAAGGACGTCATGCTTGGAAGGGTGGATGGACAGCACAGGAGAGGATGACCCTGAATAAGATGGATTGATATAGTAATTGGGGCAATGGGGGTTTGTGTGTCAGAATTAGTGAGACTGGCTTAGGACAGGGCAGAGTTCGGAGCTGCTGTACATAAGGTCACTATACATCTCAGAAGCCTCAATGGTACATAACAATAATAACACATTATGGCAGGTTTGGAAGCGGGAGTGGCATCTACTTCCTAAACAACATGCCTCTAGAAACACTAAGAACTTTGATAAATGTTTATAGTTATAGAGGGGCTTCAAGCCTTTTGTTCATAGGGTTGCTATGAGTCATGCTTGACTCAAAGGCAATCATCAATAACAACAACTGTTAGGTGCCATCGAGTTTGCTTACAGCTTCAGCCACCGTCTCAATTCATTTTCTTGAAAGTTTACTTTTTTCTTTCACTAGCCCCGTACTGTACCAAAAAATGAGTAAAGTAAAAGTAATGTATTCAGTGACTGGATTAATATCTTCGTAAATAAATTGTCTGTAAAGCAAAAATAATTTCTCAATGTGGAATTTAGAGCAAGAGTTAAAAGATAGGGAGAGTGAGATTTTATAGCTAATGCAAAACACAGTCTTCACAGAAAAAGACACACACATGAGATAGTTACTTTCGCAGATGGGGCTGCCATCTTTCCAGAAGTCTTCTGGGCTGAGATGAAAGCCCACCATGCAGCTACAGTTGAAGGATCCCCACGTATTGGTACAGACAGAATTGGGACCACACAGTGAGGGGTCTTGGTCACATTCATTAATGTCTGCAAGAAACTCGACAATATTAAGGCACTGAGGAGAACAGTGATACCTACTTGCAGGGCGGGCTAGCAAGCCCTCTGCTCACCTCCACAATACGCCTGTCCTTCTGTGAACGTCGGCTCTCCACTGCTTGACACATAGCCAGGCAGGCAGGTGCAAAAGTAGCTTCCAGGAGTATTGGTACAGGTTGCTCTCCATTTGCACTTTTCAGTGCATTCATCAATATCTGTGAGGCAGAGAATGTTTGAGAGGGCAGGTTGGGCAAGAGGCCAACACAAACCATGCTTCATATGGATAGAAAACAAAGATTATTAATAGTAACCAGGGATGAGAAGGAGGAATGAAAGGCTTTTTTTTTTCCCTTGGAGAGCATTGAATTTCTATTAATACTGGAGCTTTTTAGAAAAGGTTATCAATAATAGGGGCACACAATTTAAAAGATAATTAGTGCTATGGATTGAAGCTGCGGAAGTTGTATATTTTCATGATAGTTTTTAAAAAACAAATACTAACAAGGGTGCAAAAATGGCATACCCACTTGTAAAACCAGCAATTTTTTTATAGAGTATTGAATATGCACTTAGCATATCATTTGGCACTCTCCTGTGATTTAATTCAAGGGATATTAAAACATATGTACACCCACAGACACAGACACAGAAACAGACACACACACACACACACACACACACACACACACACACACACACATTGAAAGGCTTGGACAAGTTTCGCCACACTTTCAAATAAAATAAATGAGTAAATAAGCTACAAAATGACAAGGGAAGGACTTTTGAAAGTATAATGTTACATTAAAGAAGCCAGTCTGACCATATGATTGTCTGATTCAAAATGGGCAAGTCCAGAAGAGGCCAGAATGGTGAAATGTTGTCTCACATACTCTGGGCGTGTTATCAGTAGTGACCAGTCCTTGGAAAAAGTCACCATGGTGTGAACAGAGGATGACCCTCAACGAGCTATGCTGACACAGGAACTACAACAATAGGCTTGAGTCTGGCAGAGACCGTGATGACGGAGCAGGGTCACTGTGTGTCGTGGCTGACTCAACGGCACCTCATAGCCACAATCCCAGGAATGTCAGTCTTTATGTGTTCCATTTCAATTTTGACAAATTCCAATTTTTCCAGATTTATACTTTGGGTATTCCAAGTTCCAGTTATTAATGGATGCATGGAACTGTTTCTGCCCTTTTTGAGGTGAGCCGCATCGATGAAGAGTCTTCTTAGCTAAAGGATTTTTCCATCTGAGTCTTTAAGGAAGATCCTAGAGTGTGGAGGCTGCTCTTTCTCAGTCACATTTGACTTCCAACCTGTATAACTCTTCTTCTGACACTGCATTACTGTCCTGACACTAAGTAGGGTTTTCAAGGGCCTATTATTTTAGACATAATGTACCTGTCCGGCTTCTTAGCCTGTCTGAGCATGGACGCTTCACTAAAATCTGTCAATCATGGGTGACTCTGGTATTTAAAATATTGGTGGCATAACTTCCAGCATCATACTGACAAACAAGCCACCATAGTATGACAAAGTATTAAAAAGAATGACAGCAAAGCTGAATTGAGAAGAGGTTGTGGAATAAGGAATATTGTTACCAGCATCAAATGGGTCTTATTTGAAAGGATAGAATACTAGAAAGATATTTACTTGTGCTT